ATGTGGCTACTCACATGTCCACACTATATTTGTAATGGAATTGGAAACTGTGCATAAATATAAAAAAAAATGCTTACTCGGGTGGCTGCAAAACTTCCATTTCGGCACTCAAAGGATAAGAGAACTCCCTGCCCTTCATGTTTCTTTTAAATGTGAGCTATCTCCATTCACAACACCTGGATCTCTTAACCCATAGTTGGAGTGGCCTGGTTCAAAAAGAGGCAAGGGCAAAAACAGAAAACCAAATGCGATGCAGAATATGAACCAGCCACTGTCTCACTCTTCTGCATTACTTAAAATTCTCTTGTTATGAAAGCTGCCAAAACAGTCTTCCTTGGTTGTTCTTTGGGAATGTTTCATTTGTCACCTGCACTGGACACTTTGTCACAACTTCAGGGCAGCTAAAATTGCCTATATGTTGTGGGTCACATTGCAGTTTCATCTATGTTGAACACCAGTTTTTTGTTCACTTGCATCCAAGTTGTACTTCTAGATGATAATTACAAACTTTTCATTTTCTTAAGGACCATCTTCTGTGGTAAGCAAGCCTATTGGTTGTGGGGTGCACTGTCCACTGTGTTTGAAGGTATCTTTGGCTCCACAGGAAGCTGCCTCATGTTTGTTTTGGGGAATGAATACTCACACATTTGACTCAAATATCCTGTGGACACTTCTGATTTTCCTCTATTTACTTTTTTGTTATCCTTCAGTGCTCCCCTGATGCTTACATCCTGAACATGTTGCATTTTCAAAAAGCAGTGGTGAGCAAAGTGACATGTGGCACACCACTGACGCATTTTGGCTTCTAGATGGCCTGGGGCAGTGCTAACAAAAGGAGACTTATTTGGATTGGCTTTGTTACAAAGCAAGGGATAAAATTTGTTTTACCAACTGCTAATCATTAGCTCTGCGGTGAATCTGACACAGTTGGCTGGAAAGCAGCCAGACTCTGTTGGGTTGTTTTGAAAGTGCTTTTCCTCTGTGCTAAGCATCCGGCAGCCCTGTGAAAGATTGGGGTACTTCCTGGCAGTAGCACCTTGGCTGCCATGTGAGGAGGGGGTTGAACCAGCCTGGAAGCAGAGGTGGAGGGGAAACTGTCCTATGGTAAACAGTAGTAGTCAAAGAGCACTGCATTGGGAGCCCAGAACCTGCCCCTGAGCTAGGACAGATCCAGGTGGCTTAGAGCTGGGGTGGCACCAGTCAGACCCTGGTGGGAGAGAAGAATGGGCAAGGTGCAGTGGATCACATGAGATACTTGGAGTCAGATAACTGGGTGGGAGATGTGGCTGGGGTGTGAGGTGATTTTGTCTGTGGACATGTGTATCTGGACTCCTGTACAACAGAAGTCAGAGAATTTCACTTGTTTGGGTTAGGATAGGCCTCTCCCTTTACTACTTCTGGCCGGGGATGGGGGTTCCAGCTGTAATTATTCACCAAATTTAACAATAATTTGCAAAAAGTTTTGGCCTTGTGAAACTCTCTTTCAGAGTTCTCTAAACTGCTTGCAAAAAATATTTCCCTGAATCAATTCTTTGCACAACAGTAAGAACAGGAGGAAACCACACAGACAATATTGGTTTCTAAACAACTGCATTAACTAAGAAGATGAAAACATCCGAGGTCTTGCTACATGCATACAGTGATGCTCTGTGGCTTTTAGAGTCGGGAGATGAAAGCCCAGTGTGGCAGCGAACAGACTATGAGGAGAGGAGCCCTGAAAGGGCAGGGTAACAAGCCTGCACAGTTTATTATGGGGATTAATAAGCAGGGAGTGGGAAACAACCCCCCTGGTTAAGGAGGGACATTTGGGCAGACTGATTAGTAGCCACCCTGGGGCTGATAAAACAAATAGTGAAAGGAAGAGAAAGGGACTTCCTCCACAGTAGAAGAGTCCCTTCTGCAGGGAAGAGGCTGCTAAGACTGCAGAGACGGGCTTAAGAGTGCCCAAGCTGGACAGACAGAGAAAAGCCTGGGAAGATCCCATTCTTGCAGAGTGTGCCTTAACTGTCCCAGGCAAAGGAAAGTATCTTTTCTTTAAAGAACTAAAAGGGCCTGACTTTTATTTGCTTCCTGGACAACTGGAGGGGTGGGGGGACTAAAAAGGGGTGAGGAGGTGGTCCTCATAGGAGCCCAGGTAGGCTCAGCTTCACAGTAAGAAAGTGACTGCTAGTTGAGGAATACAGACTAAGTGGTCAGAAGCTTAGTAGGCAACTGGGACAGGGTCCACCTAGAGAGGCAAGGCACAGCCAGGTCCTGCTGACAGTGAGGAGGACTCTGAAGACAGAAGTACAATGGAGCTCACAGACCATGGTCCAGACTACAGGGCTAAGAGGACTACAGAGCAAGAGAGATTGCCAAGCCTCCAGGTAACATCCTCGTGAGTGGTGAGCAGCCTCCCTTCCCAAACCACCATTTCCCTTGAACTGAAACCACATGGCAGGCACTGGAGCAGAGGCAAGCTTTACCCAAGATGAGGTTCAGGGTAGGAAGGCCAAGCAAGGACCCTACCATCCTGTGACACCCAGCAAAGGTTCACAAACAATTTGAAGAGCTATCACTATTCTTATATTCTTTGCATAGCAACAGAAAACCAAGAGAAGTTATCGCCATCTGATTCATTGAGGACTTCCTTGACCACATAGTCTTCATGACCCTGGACTAGGTGATAATGATTGACCTGATGATGTGTATCTGCCTCTGAGGCTAACCTGAAAAGCAGAAGGTCAAGGGGAGGGAGGAGGAAGCAGAAAGACCATTGTTTGTTTTATAAGCTTTACTTTTCATAGATTAAACTTAAATTGTTAACAATTTCCATTAAGCGTGGTAGTTAATGGTTTGACCCTGAGGCAACTCCTGCAGTTAACTGGGCAGATCAGTTCCCAGCTTGCAGTGCTTATTAAAAACAGGAAAACCACCAGCTGAGCTGTTTTATCACAGCCAGACACCTGGGAGGTCTGCAGCACACCTACACGGCAGTTAGGGTTTTCACAGACATGGAGAGATTCAGAGCTACCAGATAGATATGTACCTCCCTGGGTGTGGTAGTAGCAGTAGTAGGCAGCTATCGATCCTTTTGGATCATGGTGTATTCATGGGAAGTCATCAGAACCTTCAACATGTATCTAGGCAGGAGTATGGAGAAGTAGCGGCTGCCCAGTTCATTCATCCTCCCTTTCCGCCACTGAGACCAGACCAAGTCCAGACATTGATGTTTTGATGGCTGTAATTACATGCACATCTGTGAAGATAAACCCTGGTCTCCTGCATAGCAGGAAAGGATTCTACCAGTGAACCACAATGGCAGGGTTGTAGTATTAAAACATGATAAATTACTGCAGAGGCAGGATCTCAGCCAAATTAAAACCATTAGGCACGGCAAAGCGAAACCATTGGCCTTAGTGGACCAATGCTGATTCACACTAACTGAAGATCTGATGCACTGATTGATAGGGAGGTGATGCCCAATGACACCAACCCCACTGAGTCAAATGGACTGAAGACTAATTGGGGGTGTCTCTACATGCATTTACTCTGGCCTAAGTTTATTCTGGTATAAACTACTCTAATTTGCACCCAGTTTCCTGCAGCCCTGCAATGGGCCCCTGCTGCCACTGGGAGGTGATAGGGAGGGGAGCCAGCATCTGGCAGCCATCTTCACAAGCCAGCTGTGCTCTTTGACCAGCACCTTTCTTGCCTAGGAGCAATGTAGCAAGTGCAGAGACAGTATGTGGCAGCATTCTCCTTGCCCACTCTGTCTCCCTGCACAATGGCTGCTAAGCCCCTGCCCCTGGCAGCAACGCCCAGTGCCTCGGGCTCTTTCTGGCCATGGTGCTGGCCCTGCTGGCCCCAGCAGGCCCCTCCTCCTCCCCACCCAGGCCCGAGGAGAGCCATGCACCTGTCAGCAGGGGCTGGGGCAGCAGGTCCAGGAGGGCCTGGTTGACCACCTCCTCCAGCACTCCCCACTCGAGCTCACCTGCACCACTGCCCATGGACCCCCAACCCCACCTGCCCATCTCCTGCACTATGTGCACTGCATTCACATATCAGAAGAACGTCTTTATTTCCCTCACATCAAAAAGACATCCCCCCTCCCCACTCAACAAAGAGAGTCCTTCCACCACCCACCCTGCCCACCAACAGTAAAAAACCCTCTTCCCTGTGCAGACTATTTACAAAGTGATTTTTGTGGGGGCCATGGGGGCAGAGCCTGGGGCCAGGCGGGCAGTACCCCAGCTCCTGGCCATTACCCTGTGGCTCTGGATGCTGTGGCAGGTGCGGCAGGTAGGGGGCTTACCCAGGGGTGAAGTGGCTGGTGCACCTCCAGTGCAGGTGGCTCCCCCTCTGGCTGGCAGAGTCCAGGCCCAGCAGGGCTAGTGTGCAGTTCTGGCACCATTCCAGTCAGCTCTGGCTCTGCGTCCATGTGGAGCTTGGGCGAGTGGCAGGACTGGGCCCAGGTGGGGGACCTTGGTGGCGATGAACCCAGGGCAGGGGCCAGGCCAGGGGCTCCTGGCAACTGTAGGTGCTGCAGGACCTCTTTCTAGGCATAGGCAGGGGCCTGCTGCTGGGTGGCAGGAGGTTGCCAGGGGACATGTTGGGGTAGGGGTAAGGTTAGACACCAGGCAGCAGGCAGAACGAATGTGACCACCAGGGCCAGAATGGTGTCCAGCACTTGGTCATTATCTGTGGCCTGCACTGCCCGGCTCAGGATGGTATTCTGTTCCTGCAGCACCTAGAGATGCTCACACTTCAGGGCTAGGAGCTCAGCCCAGAACTCCTGGTCTGCCTGGTCTCGCTTCTCCTCATGCTGGTCCTCTGCATCTTTGCGCTGGTCCTGCATGTCCTCATGAGTGATGTCCTCTGCCTGCAAGGCTCGTGTGTCCTCTGCACGCTCCTCCAAGACCACTACTAGCCACTGGAGAAGGATGAAGTGATGGAGGATGATGTGGAGGAGGATGCGCTTCTGGTGGAGCCAGCACATCCGTAGCACCCCAGCTGTGGTTGCTGGTGACCCTGAGTCTGCATCCCTGTCGCCAAGTGTGGTCTCACCCCCTCATCCAGCTGCAGGACCTGGAGAACCATGAGACAGAAGCTTTTAGTGAGAGTTTGCAACATTTCATAGGTAAGATGTGCTATACCAGGGGTCAGGTGCTGGCCACAGGCAGCCTGCCTCCTCTGCCCCATTCTCAGGGTGGGACAGGCCAGGCTTCTGGCAGCATCTGCTGCTGTGACTGCAAACCCCGCTGCCCCTCTTTTCTCTTGCAGGCCAACTGTGGCAGAGGCAATGCCCTGTAGCACCTGCAGGAGGAGGGCAGGCTGGTGGGGTGTGCTGCAGGCAGGTGGTGCTGGACCTGCTGCCCAGAAGCTGCCTGCAGGTGGCCCTGGGGGGCTGACAGGCCTGGCCAGAGGCTGCAGCACCCTTCAGCACCTAGCTGGCCCTGACAGCACTGCCCTGGCAGCACACGGCAGGACAGTGCTAAGCAGCAGCGCTGGGGTGCTGGAAGGCAGGCACAGGTAGCCTGTGTCCTGCCCAAGGGAACACACAGGGCCTGCAGTGCCCTCAGCCTCCCTGGTGAGTGTGTCCCAGGGCTCAAAATGTCTGTAGGCTTTTATACCCTGTAGACAGGGGCTGCCATAGAAGCAGCCCATCCCTGAGCCATTAGAGGCTTCTAGCCTGTAGCCCTAGTAGCTGGGCAGACACGGGAGCTTGCTTCTAGGTCATGTCTATACATGTGCTACTGTGCAGTAACTAATCTTGCTTACATTTGCTATTTTGCGTTTGCAAGTAGCAAATTTAAGTGCGATTAATGGTTTTTACTGTGCAATAAGCATGTGCATGTGTAAACATGTGCACTTACTGTTCAGTAAACTATGCTAATGCAGAGTACCATGTCTCATGTAGACATGCCCTTTGACACCGAAGGTGTGACAGGGAACATGGCTCATTTATTCCAACAGAGCTGTGCTGATTTATATCATCTGTGAATATGACCCCTGATAGCTCCTGCAGAGAAATGCTAATTTACTCTAGCTGGACATGTTGCCCACTGACTCCAGTGGGCAGTGCCAATAGGCACCACAGGTCAGATTTTCAAAATTCTCAGTCCTCAACTTTTCTCTTTTCTCAGTATCGGCTGCTGGGTTCTCCACACTTTTAAGGGTCCCGTTTGTTCTTGGATCCTGCCTGGAATCCAAGTGGGTTGGCGGGTACTAAAATGTTTGCAAGCCTGGCCACTTCATTCAGAGGCCTGAAATGGCAGTTTAACATTTTATAATATCTAATCCTTAATTACCAAAAGCTTTCTGCAATGGTTCATTCACTAGCCTGGTATATTTTTGTGTGTTAATACATAGTACTTCAGAGGTGAAATACTTGGGGTTAGCTCTAGAGGAAATAATTTGGTGGCTGGTAATACATTGTACAGCACTTGAGAAACATTTGCCCCTTAGAGATGTCCTGATCCAGTTTCAGCTGGATCATAACATACTTTTTAAAAAAAGCTTACCACAGAGAAGGTAAAAATTCAACTGCTACCTGAAAGTTGTTTCTTTCAGGAGTGAATAGACCTGAAAGGCTGCACTGAGCCATTATTCTGTTTGGCTTGGCTTGTGGCTGTGTGTGCTTCCCATCTGATGGGATTAAGGTAGGGTTGCAGCTCTGTTTGAGTCTGTTCTAGGAGGTTTCATCACATGGCATGCTGACGTTAATTACGGTGCATAAACTTTGTCAGGAAGGCAGATGCACATTGCTATTACATTTGAAAAACCCACTGGACTACTGTATACATCAGATTCAACATTTAATATAGATTTTAATGAGTACCCTATAATTTATCTCCTGGATTACTTTTAGTAGTTTCCTGAAGATTTAATCTAATTCCTGGAGACTCCAGAGCAATCCTGGAGGGTTGGCAACCCTAGATTACGGCTGCAATGGTAACTGTCACAATGCCTCATAGAACTGCACTGCTGTGTCCCACGGGTGGTCCAGCCCTGAGATATCATTGGGCTTGGAGTGCTGCTTTTCTTGTCCACGTGGCACCAGCCTGGGGTGAAATCTCATGGTAGGGCCATGATTTTGAACCAACATTGTGGGCTACAGAGGTATCTTCATAGAAACAGCTCCAGTGTCTCCTACAAGCTAGCCCCAAACACTGGGTAGCAGAGAAAGCCCCGTGGTTGGGGAAAGCTTATTGCTTCAATAACAGCCTTTAGGGAGGCCAGTGTGGACAGATAGAGGGGATGCAGGATGGAAGGCCTCATGGTGCCTGCAGTCACTTTCATAGCAGTGGCAGCTTCCTCATCAATACCTCCTGACCTTCTCCCAGCCTTCTACTTCCCTGACTGACAGGCAGGGACAAACTGGAGTCCAGATTTCTCATCTAACCAATCATAGAATCATAGAAAATTACAGTTGGAAGAGATCTCAGGAAGTCATCTAGTCCAATCCCCTGCTCAAAGCAGGACCACCCCAAACTAGATCATCCCAGCCAAGGCTTTGTCTGGCCAGGTCTTAAAAACCTTCAAGGATGGAAATTCCACAATGTCTCTGCGTAACCTGTTCCAGTGCTTTACCACCCTTCTAGTGAGAAAAAATTTCCTAATATCTAACCTAAACTTCCCTTGCTGCAACTTGAGACCATTGCTCCTTGTTCTGTCATCGGCCACCAGTGAGAACAGTCCAGTTCCATCCTCTTTCAAACCTCCCCTCATGTAGTTGAAGGCTGCTATCAAATCCCACCTCAGTCTTCTCTTCTCTACACTAAATAAGCCCAGTTCCCATAGCCTAGTCTTTCAAGTCATGTCCCCCAGCCTCCTCGCCATTTTTGTTGCCCTCCTCTGGACTCTCTCCAATTTGTCCACATCCTTATTGTAGTTGGGGGCCCAAAACTGGACACTACTCCAGATGTGGCCTCACTAGGGCTGAATAGAGGGGAATAATCACTTCCCTTGATTTGCTTGCAGCAGTCCCACCAATGTAACCCAGTGTGCTGGTAGCCTTCTTGGCAACAAGGGCACATTCAGTCATGACAGGCAATTTTCTTGGGGGCCACCATTGGCCATATAGATGAGATCCATGTAGATGAACAAATAGTACTTTCCTTTGATAGCAACCCCCCCACATGCATACACCATTGGCCATGTGGATAAGATCCATGTAGACGAACAAATTATACTTTCCCCCCACATGCACACCCCCTTCCTACTCCCCCACTCCCAAGCATGGGGAACAGTGTTTTTAACTGTCCCCAGCCAGCAGCTGCTATGCAAAAGGGGCATTTGCCTGCCAGGCTGTGGAAATAACTGGATGACAGCAGTTCATCTCCAAAGAGAAATGGCAACAAGCTAAATAAACAGTTTTCTCTCTACCCAGTCCAACCTGCGCAGAGCCACAGATTGTCCCTGTCACATGAACATGCAGCCAGGGTCAGTTTTCTGCTGCAGTAAATGGTTAACCTGCTAGCTGATCTCTTGGAGCTGATCTCACCTAAGCAGACAATGTGGCTTATAGGTTTCTTTTATGTATGGAGGGCCGGTCCTATTCCACCCATTAGAGGTCTGTGGGTTTAAGAGCATTCTGTTGCACCCTACTCCACTCCCTGAAAAATGGTTACTTTTGTATGTGCCTTCACCTTAGCCTTCAACCTGAATCACAAGGAGTGGCAAAGAGGAAGAGGAGGAGGATGAAGAGGACCCACCACACTTTTGTTAAGTTCCTTAACAAAGAATACTGAGACTTTTCTCCAGGCCTAAAACACCAGGCTGTTTTATTCAGCAACAAACAACACCTCGCTGAGAAGATAAAAATAACGCTGGAACAACAGGGGGTGGAGTTCTAGCTCTCAAGCTCCATCCTATAATAATGACCAGCAATTTAATGCTATAATAAGTGCCCAATTACTGCATTCCTCCCCTCTTAATTTACAACCTGGACATAATCTTTCAAATAACTAGGAGCTCTCCGTTCTCTGGCTGGATAGCGCCACTCCTCAGGAACAGGCTTCTCCTCTGGCCCGGGGAGTACATGTCTGTCTCCAGCATCTCTGACCTCCTGACTAGGAGAGTTTGTGGATAGTTCCTCATTACTGGGCCCGAAATTCTCAGTCATTCTACCCAATTCTGGGTCCTCCAAAAACCCCTCCTTCTCAGGCAATTGCTCTGGTCCCCCAGGTAGGTTGGTTCAGAAGCAGATGTGGTCCTGATGTCTTCTCACTATTTGGCCATTACTGACTCCAATTTTAAAAGATAAGAGTCCTGTTTGTTCTTGGATCCTGCCTGGAATGCAAGTGGGTTGGCGGGTACTGAAATTTTTGTGTAGACAGGATCACACCCATACCAAAACTCTTTCTTTAGCGTGATAATCATGGTTGTGTTTTTGAAGGGTCTGTTTTTTCTGCACTTCTTCCTCCATATTGGGATACAGTAAATCCAAATGAGTCCTGACCCTCCTTCCCACTAATAGCTGGGCAGTCAAACTCTAGTTTAATTGAAACCAAAGGCAAACATCCCATTTAATGAGACCAGGAGCTGATGCCAAGAACAGCCATTGGGGTAGAAGGCTCATGCCCAACTCTGAGTGTTTGGCTTTCTCCTGGTGCCATACATGGTGTCATCACAAAAGTCATTTCACCACACTTCACTCATTATGCAAGGATCCAGGTTTCAGTTTGCCATGGAAAAAGGGGGATTTTCTCATTTAAAGGAGAAAACCATGGGAAACAGTGGGTTTCCCTTTGCAGGCTGGCTTCCTTTCATTGTGCAAGAGGCTGCTTGAGGCTGGGGCTGTGGGATGCAGGGGACACTACATGCATGTGTTTGAGTGCGCACATGCATGTTACAGGCAGGCAGCAGTGGAAAGAAGGTTCCTCCAGGTAAGTCTTGGGGAGGGGTGGGGGGCATATGTGTCCCCAGATTTCTGTGCCCACAGTGGGACATGGGGCTGCAGCCAGGCCAGACCAGCTCCAGGCAGGAGCTTCCTCTGCAGCCCAACAAAGTGGGACTTGGTGTGGGAGGGAGCACTGCACCACCATGGCTGCCAAAGTGAGGTGCTAAAGCAGTGGTGCAGAGTTGTGCCCCCTGCTGCTGCCATAGCAGGGCTACTGGGGCTGTGGCTTGGGAGTGAGGGGCACCAGCATGGGTAGGGGCAGAAGTAGGGCATTGGCATATCAGTGCTGTTCAGTGCCACAAAGCAGTGTCGGGGGACAGCCGCAGCTGGACCTGTATCCTGGTGAGCAAAGATAAAACAACCAAAATTAAATGTCAACATTTATAGGTATTTAGAATGTATTTTATTATAATGATTGAGGCACTGGTAGGCTTAGAAACTGCCTTAAAATTGTAAATATACCAATCAAACATTGTGTTCAACTGATACTTACATATACAGTGGCATTTCATTTTAAATGTGGAAAAATGTGAATTTGGGGTTTTCTTAGAGAATCTGGGATTTTTTTATCAGACAAATAGCAATTTTTAAACAGATAAAACCAGGATCCCGGTCAGCTTTCAGTGAGTGTGTCTACATGTGCCATTAATGCACGGCAATGAACTCCGGAGCTTTTTCCTCTGGAATTTGTTGCTCCCAGTGTGTCATTTACATGTGCGCCTGGACTGCAGCACACTGAGCCAGGTCAGAGCAGCCTGGTCTGGCAGGGTCCTGGGGGTCAGCTTGCCAGCCCAGGGCTGCTCCAACTAGGCTCAATGTGCTGTGGAGGGGCTAGCTGGGGCATGAGGATGCTTTAGCATGGGGCTAGCTGGCAGGTAGCCCTGACACTGAAGCACTCTCGTGCCCCAGCCAGCCCTGTCAGCATCTACATGTGCGCTGCTGTGTATTTACAAGTACTACCCTGCTGTGGAGTTTATTAGTTTCCTGCGCCCTAACAGGGGTGGCATGTGTAGATGTTGAGACATTACTGTGGAGCTAATTAGTCAGCTCTGCAGTAAATGTCTCAGGTAGATGTGTCCAGTTAGTGGTGTTTTGATACTTTTTCTGCAGGAAGCGAAACTATGTTTCTTTGTTTTTCTCAGAAATCAGGTGACCAAACATAACGTGCCTGATTGGCTACAAAAACTACCAAAAAAAAAACCCAAAACAGGTTGAAAGGAAGTTGAGCTGCTTGTTTTCTTTGAAGGTTTCCCTTGCCCACCTGCTTTTCCTCCCCACTTGCTCTGCCCCTCATAAGAGCATCCTGGTCCTAGTCTGCTCTCCCATTTGCTTAACTTCATTCAGACTAGGATAGAAAGCAGTGTCTCCAGTCTTCATTTGGACCTTGGACAGCTCTTCATTGCAGCAGGACAAAGGTAGTTTCGCTTCTTTGAAGGGACAGGTATCCTGTGCTATGTATGTGAGCTTCATATAATAGCTAATATTCTTCAATAACTTCCATGCAAGGGGCTTTAACCAACCCCGCACCCCAACTATAGATCAGGAAAGCTAAGGTATTAGCAGATTCTGGTGGCAGGATGGACTGAACTATTTTTTTTTTTTTTATGCTTATAGATGAATGCTTGCTCTAAAACTGATCCATCACTGTGAACAGGTTCATTCTCACTCTGGCTTAACCTATACAGAATCCAGCTGAATTATTGGGGTGGAATGACACGCGTTTAATGACTCATAAATTGGATTCAGATTTGGATTTTGGTTACATCAGTTTTAAATCTAAAGCTGCTCTGTTTTATGACTTGGATAGATTCCTGATTGACTCCAACATAAATGAGATCAGAGCCTAGCCCAGTGCTTCTCAGGGTGTGTCTGCCCTACCAGCCACAGGTGTGACTGCAGCTCTTACTGATATACCTGAACTAGCTTTAAATAAGCTGGCTTGGGTACTAATAGCAGGGTAGCCTGTGGCATCATGGATTCAGTCTAGGCTGCCAAACCCACTTAAGACTTTGGGAAAGTATCCAAGTGCTTAACTCAGGCTTAACCTGCAGCTGGGGCAACCTTTTTATCAGTATCCTAGCCAGGCATTTAAAGCTAACTCATTCAGCATTATGAGAGCTGCAGTTTCACCTCTGGTCTACAGTATGGATACACCCTCCATAGCAATGGGCTCGGCTGTGGTGGTTTTTACACTGCAGTAGATCAGGGTTATCATTGCTTACTTCAGTGGAGTTACTGCAGGTTTAAACCAATGAAACCAAGATCAGAATCTGAACTCCTGGACCCAAGCATGTGACAAAGTAAATGCTGTATAACCATGTATGTAAGCACAGGGATTATATTTCATGTGCAGGACAGATGGTCCAGTGGTTAGTGTGCTTGGTTTAGGACTTGGGTCCAGCTCAATGATCTTGGGTAGGTCATTGAGAGCCAGATCCTATTCCACTTATTAGGTGCATAAGTAGACCAGGCACCTACGTGCAATCCTGTTCCATGCTGCTCAAACCCCTGAAAATGACATGTGGGGTGGGCTTCCCCCTTCTTTTTTTTTTTTTTTCCCTCAGTCGTGAAGGCAAGATGGCGATGTTTTACAGACAGGGCAGATACAGGATTTGGCAAAGGGGGGTGTGGGTAATTGCACCCTGCGCTCAGCCTCCTCCCCTACCTGCCACCAGTGTGGGTAGACCACACTGAGGGAGCCTCTGGGAACTTTTCGAAAGTCCTCAGAGCAGGTAAGAATCGCACTCACCCCACAGACACTTTCTCCTCCATGCTCAAAGGCACGGTCACCTTGCTCCTCCTTTGCCTGCCACAGTTGCTTTCCCTGCTGTCCTCGGGAAGCTTCAGAGTCACTCCTGCTTGCTCCAGACAGGTTGAATGGAGGTTGAGCTCAGTTGGGAGCAGTGATGAGGTAGCAGTGATGGGTGAGGGCATTCCCATTCTCACGCCTGCTGGGGGACTGGGCAGGATGGGGGAACCCACCACTCCAGCCACAGGATGGGGGAACCCACCACTGCACTGCTGCCACTGTCGCTATTCCCACCTGAGCCTGGCCCCTACAGTCTGGAAGCAGGGGGAGGAGGGTGCAGCTGCACCAGTTCAACCCCTCTGGATCGGTCCCTGGTTACAGAAGTAGATGTATTAATGGATTTTCAGGGATTTGACCAGGGAGGAACAGAATAACATGCACCTAAGTCCACCTAAGCCATGAACGACGCATGCCCCTGGTGGCTGGGGGGCACGGCGGTGGCGGGAGCATGGCAGTGGTGGCGGGAGCAAGGCAGTGGTAACCAGGGAGCTCCCACAGATGCTGCTGGCGCTGTCGGCGGTGGGGGTGTGTGGGGGGTGGTGGTGAGTGCTGACCAGGGGTCAGTGACCACCTGCAGGTGCTGTTGGTGGCAGGGGGGTAGGGAGGGGTAGTGAGCGGCGACCGGCCACACTGTCAGCAGTGCCTTTTCATAGGGGGTGCACCGTCATGCTCAGGACATGCGCGTGCACCCGCATGTAGCCCCTACGCATCACCAATGACCTAAGCAAAGGGTAACTAAACAGACTGATGTCAGAATGATAGGATGTTTAAAGTAGGGTTCCACCAGGAACTGTCCTGGGACTGGGGCTATTTAACGTGTTTATTAATAATGCTGGAATAGAGGGCTTCTTGATCAAGTTTGCAGACAACATGAAACTGGGAAGGATCCATGCTGGGGGATAGCAATAGAATGCCAAAGGACACTGCAGTAAGATGAAGTGTAATACAGACAAATGTAAGGTGCTACACCTAGGGAAGAATAACCACATCTACAAATAAAGAATGAGAAGTAACTGGCTGGGTAGCAGCATTGCTGAGAAGGGTCTTGGGGTTTGGGTAGATCACACAGAGTGGACATGATTCACCAATATAATGCTGTTGCAGGAAAAGCAAACATAATTTGCTGTATTATCAACCAGCAGACATGGAGCAGTCAGAGCAGGTCCAGAGACAAGCTGCAAAAATGATAAAGGTGCTGGGAGGCAAGCTGTGTAAGGAAACAGTAAGATACTTGGGTATGTTTAGCTTGCAGAAAAGGAGATTAAGACGTGGGACATAATAGCAGTCTTCAGAGATTTGAAAGGCTGGCACGAAGTGGGAGAATAACTGTTCTCTACTGCAGAGGGCAGGGCACAAAACAATGGTTTTAAATTGCAGCTGTGTAGGTTTAAACTAGATTTCAGGAAAAAAAACCTTCCTTGCTATTAGAACAGTGAGTCATTGGAACAGCTTCCCCAAGGAAGTTGTGGAATCTCCTTCCTTGGACGTTTTCAAGAAGTTTAATGAATATTTGATAGGGATGGTTTAGGAATAGCACTCCTGCATTCGTGCAGAGGGTTGGACCCCGATGCGGGGGTGAGGGGGAGGAGTAGAGCAGGTGTAGAAGTACTTAGGGTGTTCTCTTTCTGGGTACTACAGAATTCATCCTATGCTCAGCTCTAGCATGCAAGATGACTGGGGTATGAGGACAGGACAGGGAGGAAAAGGATTCAAAGCCCATGACTATGAAGATGCCTGGCATATGCCAAGCCTAAGTGGATACATTGCCTCAATGACCGCATTACTGGCTAGGGATGTGGCTGCTCATGAATAACCTCCTCTCAACCTTTTCCCCTGGATAAGCTCCACTTCTGCCATGTCTTTCTCCAGCATTTGCTAATACACCATGGACATGACCAAGGCTAACAGTGTGTTCAGGGCTGGTCCACCAAACAACCCAAACATCATGCAGATGGGACATGTTGTGTACATGTCCTCTCAGACCAGTAAGAAGAAGGTCTCAGGGCAGAGTGAAGCGTATGGGGTAAGTCTGTCCACTTGTTAAATCCACCTACATGACAGGGCTTTAGTAAAACCATGGCCTGACAAGGCCTTAGCTTTTAGCTGTTTTCCCTTTACCCCTCTCCACCTCTTTTTTTTCCTAGTCTACCCAACAATGCCATGTGGCCCAGTCCCTGTGTGGTAGCCTCCACTGTGCTTGCAACAGCTCTCACTACATCAGGGGACTTTAATTATTCTTTTCTGGGCTCCCCCTCCCTCTTCCAGCTGCCACTTCCTGTCCTCACCCCACAGGCTAGGGTGGCATGGCATATGACAGGAAGCTGAGGGTGAGCCCAGGCTGCATGCAGAGGGGGAACTGGCACCATGTGGTGGGGAAATCTTGCCCGCATAGGGCAACGGTGGGGTGGGTTGCCTGCAAAAGCAGATATTGCAGTAGCAGAGGGAGAAATCATGCCCCTGCAACCATTCCCATTGCAGCAGTGGGAGGGGTGCCCATACAAACCCTGGAGCAGGTCGTGGAAGCATCTGTGCAGCATACAGCCTGGTGGCCTTTGGCTTGCCTGGTGTGGCCCCTGCGGTGTGTGGCTTTTAGGGGCATAGAAGTTGGGCAGGCCTGGTCTATAGATCCAAAACTGATGATGATTGTCCATTACATTTTTCAGCATAAAAATGTTTTCCAGTCTAGAGTGGGTTGTGCACTGCAGGTAATTAAAGCTGGTGATGCTTTGGGTCTTCATTCAGAGTAGATGCCTCTTGCATGTTACAATATTATTATTACTGAACCTTCTCACCTAGTTCTTTCTCTGCAGTCCATGCAGATCATCGTTGCTTTTGTCCACATTGGCCTTGGAGGCATCTTGTTGTACTCCGCGAAGGATTTTGCCCCATTGATCATGACTTATGGGTACCCGTTCTGGGGCGGAGGGCTGGTAAGTGGAAAAGATGGCTTTCTCTGAAACATAGGCATGGCTAGAGGAATGCTAGCTCTGGAGGTAAGAGCTAGCCACCACCATCCAGGGTGGTGGCTTACTGCTGGTTAGATGTTGCAAAGAAATGAGTCCTGGGGACTGATCTTAGATTGTGGGACTCCTTATACAATTGTCATTAAACAGTTATTGGATAAAGTGCATAAACAGTCCTGTGGGTAGGGGCAGAGCCCAGGATTCCCTCTCTTTTAGGGGACTGCCCTCCTCAGTAGGCTACAGAAGCAGGCTCTCTGTCTTGCACTCATGAATCTAGCATTCATTTCTACCATTTCAAATGGAGAGTATATTTAGTTCAGCCTATTTGTTATGTGGATTCAAATTCCTTTGGGGGTCAAGTGGACCTAGAACCCAGTTTACCTGCTTCCCAGGTTATTGTCTTCTCTTCTTCCCCACCTCACTACTCAGCCCTGACAACAAGTCAGTCCTTCTGTGCGCAGGCAATGGCTGTATTTTAGGTGTAAAAATTAGTTTTCAGCATAAACCTAGGATAGCTAAGACTTCTTGTGTGCCTAAATATTTAGGCAGTTTTGCGTTTTGTTTGTTTTGTTTTCAGTTAATCAATTGGAATTAGAGAGAGATCTAGCTTCCAGGTTATAGAAACACTATATTTTTCATGGGGTTATTTGATAAGTCTTCAAATACCTGAGTCACAGATTCACATTTATAGATTCACAGAAGTTTAGGGCTGGAAGGGACCTCATGAGATCATTGGTCCAGCCCCCCTGCTCTGGGCAGGAAAGACTGCTGGGAGTCTTCAAATTACAGCGAGGATGGAGATGAGTTTTTCTCTGTGACTGTAGGGAACAGGACTAGGAGCAATGGCCTCAAGCTGCAGGAGAGAAAATTTAGGTTGGAGATTAGAAAGAGCTTTCTATGGGGGTGGTCTAGCATTGGAATAAGCTACCTACAGAACCTGAAATTTTAAACCTTGCAAGTTTTCATGAGCAGGTTGGATAGACATGAGTCTAGAGCAGGAATTGAATTTATGTCCTAGGAACCATAACAAGATTCCTTACCTGCTCGAGTATTGTGCCCAGTCTCATCCTGATAAGCAGGGATTTGGGTTTTCCGTTTCCCATGGATTTTACCTTTTACCGGAGGCAAACATGGATTTCTCATTTTACCGGAGAAACCCACAGATTTTGCAGTTTTGCAACAAGCTCTCTGCAAGCTGGCAACCTGCAAGGGGCTGGGAGGCAGCAGGAGGGGGATGGTCAGGCAGAGGGCACTATGTGCACTGCCCCAAGCAGCCTGGAGAGGAGCCCTGCAGGTAAGAGTGAGAGTGTGTGTGTGTGTGTGTGTGTGTGGGGGGGGGGTGATTGAGGCTCCCAAAGGGAGGGAGGGACAGAGTTTGACAGGGGCTGGGGCTGGGGCTGCTGCCCAGCTAGAAAGTGCCTGGGGCTTGGGGCCTGAGGCCACAAGATATGGTCACAGGGCCCCAGCGGGGAGTGGGATGGGGCTGTGGGCTGCTCATTCGGAGGTGGGGGGGCTGGATCCCTGCTGCTGCACGCGCTCCCAGAGGGCAGGGAGGACCTGTGCCCCCCAGATCTGTGCACAGGGCACAAGCACGGGCTGCCCGCTTCACGATCAGGTTCCCACCCTGATGCCCTGCCTGGGGGCCTCTGCAGCCCGGTGGGTGTGACCCAGCACTGCACAGAACTGTGGGGCCGCGCAGGAAAGTTGTTTGCCACTGCAAGCTCTGCACTGCCCTGGTGCGCCTGTGCAGAGGACGGGTTGCCAGGGCAGTGTGGAGCTTGCAGCGACAAGCAGCTTTCCTACATGGCCCCACTGTTCTTTGCAGCACTGGGTGGCACCCACCTGGCTGTGGAGGCCCTGGGAAAGGGCAGCAGGGCGGGAGCCTGCAACATGCAGTCCCCACCCCATGCACAGATTTGGGGGCACGGGTCCCCCCTGACCCTCTGGGAGTGTGCGCTATGGCGGGGAGCTGGCCCCACTCCCACCTGAGCCCACAGCAGGCAGGCAGTAGTGCGGGGGAACTGGGCTCCACTCTACTGCAGCAGCTGCAGCCTCCTGCCAGGGGTAAGAGGCTGTGGACGCGAAGCAGAGGGCTGCGGACCTGGATCCCTGACCCCATAGCCCTGGTAGCTGGGGGCCCCCTCCAGGAGGGCTGGAGGAGCGGGAGGGGAGGGGCACAAGCAGGTGGGGGGGCTGGGGGGGAGTGGGGGGCACGTCAGGGCCAGGGGCCTGTTGGGGGACGGTTAGGGGAGCAAAGGGCATGAGCAGGGCCACGGGGCTGTGGGGGGATGAGGGGTACCAGCAGGGCCAGGGTGGCTGTGGGGCCCTTTTCATTTTAATCATGTATTTTGGGGTTTTTTTTTATCAATTTGTGATTTTTTTTATCTGGGAAAATCAAGATCCCTGCTGATAAGGAAAGGAAACAGTGTGAAAACAAAAAAAAAATTTCAGGGCAATAAAACCTATTTTCCTCCAGGCTCTGAGTCAAAGCCTGGAACAGTATTGTGCCAGCTGTGAAGCCCCACAAACTGGCACAAGAAGCAAGGGGGAATTCCCACTCGTATACAGAAAATAATAGGAGTTAGGTTCATAATCCAATGAACCAGCAGGAAGGAATAGATAAAAGGTAAAGAAACATCAATACTATGGTAACATATAGTCAGCACCTACATTTCCCCCTGTTCCTCCAGAGGCAGCCCTAAACAAGTCACCAGAGTGCTCAAACAGCAGCCTGCAGCTGCCCCCAAGTCTGATTTCCAGATCCTTTAGTCCCCAGTCCTGGCTGCCTGATCCCTCTGTATAGGGATCATCCAGTTTCCATGTGCACACCGTTCTCTCTTCCCTTTACTTTAGCCTTAAGCTTCTTCCTCCTTTTTCCCTAATCCCTCTCAGCCCCTGGGGGTTTCTGAGAGTTGTAGTCCAAATTAACAGTCAGTAAAGTTTTGCAGACTGCCCTCTGGTTCTTCCTGCTGTTATGCACGTTACATTTACATTACAATATTTTTCTGCCAAGGAGAAAGGAAAGAAAGAACAGAGATGCAAAAGACAGTCTGTACGATGTCCTTATTATCATTTTTTTTATTTGACCTGTTACGCTTCTCATCACAGACGCCTGGTCACTGTCTGAATCATAATACAACAAAGTGGATGGAAACCAGGTTTAGGGTGCGGAGGAATAAATTACTTTCTGTGTACAGGTGAAATAGGATCAGGACTGGAAGTCATACTATAGTTTTAGCCCAGGGCACTCTGAAAGGGCTAATTGGTCACTGGAAGGTAATACATAAAGGGCAGATGAGAAAACTGTGAATGGGGATGAGAAAGGTGAGTACGTATGTGTGAGGATGGTGTTGTAGATGGCTGGAACATTTGGATAAGTGGAAGGCATTTCTGCATGATCTCTTGATCTTAGAAATAATAGTTTCCTCTTTTCTTTACAGTTCTTTCTTTCTGGGTTGCTTGCATCGTTATCAGCCACAAGTACCATAGGTTCGGTGAGTTCCTGTGTTTCCTGTTATCAGGAAATACAACTCTGCGATTTATACGTGTGCTTCAGGAGTGTGTGTGTATGGGGGGGGGGGGCGCAACACTTTAATTAGGGTAGCTCCAAGAGCCACACTAATTAAAGTGCCCAGGGCATCATGTGTATCAGTGTCCCTGCACTGAAAAATGGTGGCTGGAGCACTTCAAATAAAGCTTGTCAAACCAACTTTAGTTAAAGTGTTCCCACCACCATATTTCAGCGTTAGCATGCTGATACACATGATGCTGGAGTCTGCTGGAATGTGGTAATAACCATGCTCCAGCAGACTCAATTAATCGTGTCTGCTCCAGTGTGCTGGATTACCATGCATTGGAGCAGCCTCTCTGCATGTGTATAGGTGCCCTAAGCAGGGAATAAATCAAAGTCCCTCTCTGCCAGGGGGTCTTTCTGGGGCCTGGGTGGTATCCCATGGAGGAAGAAGCACATGGAGTGCTGTCACCCAGGGAGAGATGGACTGCTTGAGAATTGCACTGGGGTTCACTTGAGACAAGATCCTGTATAAAAACATGCTGAAGTCCTCAATGGGAAAGCCCTCAAAGGCTAGAAAATGCCAAGTTTAAGATTACCCACAGCACCTTAGCTGTGTCCCTTTCTACCCCTTGGTCATTACAGTACCCTCTATTTCCTCTGCAGGGCTCCAGCTGCAGGCTGTTTGGTGGGGCTTATATGAGCTAACTCCCTTCACTATTGATTATCATTCTCTGTTCTACCATAAATGACCCCTCCCCACCTCCTAGCCTCATTGTCTGCAGACCAGACAGACTGTGTGTTGAGTATAGCAGAATATGACAGGATATAATACCCTTCAGGAACCTGGCAGGGTTGGAAGTATCTACCTTGTTTCCAGGTTTCAGAGGCAGCTTGTCTAGGGTAGCATGTCACTGACTGAGTGAACTGCTTCTGGGTCTAGTAAACTTACTGTGTGAACATGGGCTTGGCAAGGTGTCTTCAAGGGGAGTTCTTTTTCATATGTTTGGTGGTAATTGCAGTCTGTGTGTGGTGGCAGATGGATGGCTCAGTCACCGGGAACACTGAAGATACAGCTTTGGCATGTTGCGGACATGGGTAGCCATTGTTATATGTGCCCTCTGTTCAAAAGTCAGTGGGCATACATCCAAGCAGTGATATAACGGTATGCCCTGTGTCTCTTTCTTTCAGGCAGTCAGTAGCCATATATTCAACACCTTCAGTATCCTTGCTGCATTAGCTGGTGGAATACTCTTGGGAATTGATTTGTTTAAAATTTCCATCCTAAACATGCGGCAGCTTTCCATCCCGCTTCTGGAAAAAATTGGTTTACCATCCAGCTATTTCTTAGCTGTGCGCTGCGAAGATGGCCTCATCCCTCTGGATTACTGTCGGGCCCTCAGATCTTATGAGACGGTATGTGTCCAGATCCCCACACAGTGCTGTGAACTCTGGTTTAGAACTGATGATGTGTGAAAACTTTGAGGGTGAAGGCATAGGGAATTACTCTCCTTGCAGACTCCTGTTCTGAGGTATAAGCATGGCAGCAGAATTTACAGAGAACGGGTGTTGCCTGGAATTTGGAAATGTCTTGATTTCATGGATTTCTAGGGTCAGAAGGGACCTATTGTATCACTGATATCCAACCCCTGCTCTGGGCAGGAAAGAGGGCTGGAGTCAAATAACCCCAGCCAGGTGCTTGTCTAATTGCCTTCTGAACACCTCCAAGATAGGGGAAAGTACCACCTCCCTTGGAAGCCCATTCTATATTTTGGCAACCCTCACCATAAAGAATTTTTTCTTTTCAGTTTATGGCTGTTGTTTCTAGTAATCCCAAGGGGCGCTCTGGTAAAACAGAGTATCCCCTATTCCCTGCTGACTCCCCCTGATGAGTTTATAGACAGCCACAAGATCACCTCTCAGCCTTCTCTTGCGGAGGCTGAAGAGATTCAGGTCCCTTAATCTGTCTTCATAGGATCTTACCTGCAGGCCCTCAACCATACCATTTGGTGGAATATTGTTAGGATAATTGTAATAACTACTGATCAGGCTTGCTGAAATTTTGGCAAAGGTTTCAAACTTGTTTCTTGTAAGCAAATTACATCTTATTTTTCCCCTCCTCATTGATCCACTTGGGTCTGTGTATGGGCTATGAATTAAACTCTGATTACACTGACTTCAGTGGAGTTCACTCTGGATTAACGCTAGTGGAGATGATCACCAGGTTCAAGTCTAGCCGCCCCTAGATCTTAAATGTCATTAACTGTATCCCTTTAACTTATTCTTTGGTGTTGCACAGGGGATGTTGGCCTTGATGTTGATCTTCACTATATTCCAGATCATTTTTTCCTCAAATACTTTCTGCTCTAAGTCGGTAAGGACTTAATATCTTATAACTATTTAGGTCGTCACCTGTCCTGGGGTGGGGTCCCTACTGCCTAGACCTATAGCTGGACATTTCTGCACCTTAGGCAAAAATGCTGCACAGAGAGAGCAGCTGCAGATGGGATGCCAGCTGTGGTGGCAATGCCAGTGACTGGTTGGGCCAGCACTGTGGGGGCTGCTCTTTCTGCACTCACCTTTAAGTCACCGCCTGGGGCTGGTGCCCCAGTCACCCCTGCCCCCAACATCGTAGTTATGCTACTGCCACTGCCAAATTGGAGTCCAGCCACACACCCCTACCACAATACTGAAACTGTGCCAGGAACCCCACTCCACCAACATACTGAAATCCCCCTGGATATTCCTCTTTGCCAGCATTTTGAAATCCCTACTAGATAGCTCTCTCTGCCATCAGATTGAAACTGTCCTGGGCACCCCACCCCACTGCTATATTGAAACTGTTGAGGGAACCCCTCCCTACCTCCTTATTGAAGCTGCCCCAGCACTCCTTAGGTGGTGGAAAAAGATGGCAGTGATTTTCTCTATCTTTTCAGGTCAAGAATAAGGTTGCAGGAGATCTCAGTTCGGAGGAAGTGCAAGAGTTTTCCTTGATGCCGACAGCATATCAGTGAAAACAGGTCCCTCTGAGCCACAACTCACCACAATCAGCTACCACTATACATCCAAGAACAAACTCTAAACAGCTTCTATTAATCAAGAGCACATGTCCCTACTGGAGAGATTTCCTTCAGTCCCGTTCTCCTCCCAGTCACAGATGGGACTTCTCCCTCATTGTCTGTCATATCCATCCCAGGTGCTGTTTCCATGGTAAACAGAAAGCAAGATTGATAATGACAAGGAGAGGCACTCGCTAGCTTTATCCACCCCCTTGAAAAATGCCTCCTGAGCATCTCTCATGCCTGCTTCCTCAATAGGAGGTTAGAAATGGATCTTGGCTTTTCATTTTGCTTGATATGAGTGTACTAGGAAAGACAGGAGTTTACCTTGCAAGCTACAAATGAGCCGGTTTCCCTGATCACTTTGCAGACTTTGAAAGCTATCATGATTCTTTACTGAGATGGCATAAGGTGTGTCCTGCATTGTGTTCTCAGTACATATTGTGTTTCCAGTAATGATCATGGAGAGATTTTACAGCAGAGACAATAAATGTATCAAATGCTTTTTTCCCCATTGCTTATACATTTTAGGCTGATTTATGCAAGGCAGGTTTTTGTTTTTATATCTGCGTGACAAAGTGGTTCACCTCCATCTGCGAGTGACAAATATACGTTCCCTATTTATAAAATGACCCATGTGGTATTCTGCTGAATGATTCCTTTGCCTACACCGATATGAATAGAAAGACTAAATTTCATGAGAAGATTCCTTGTCTATTTTGATTAAAGTTGGTCTGGATTGAGAACGCTATGGGTATTAGTAACACATAGTAACAAATCTAGTCAGTAGTGTTTTAGCTAGACAAATATTTAAAAAAACCTGGAAATTCCAAACTAAGATTAAATTTACAAGAACTCCAACGTTCGACGATCCAGAAATCCACAGTTAAAGTGTGCAAATGACCCCAAAATCCCAGTAGGACATATTTGTTGGGATTTAAACTACATAGCAGCTGTCTGATTACTCCCATTGATTTTATTGGGACAAATTGTTCCCTCTGTTTAGCAGGATTCTCCAAAGGAATCCCAGTCTCTATGCTTTTCTTGTTTGATTTTGGTGATATTATTCAACACTATCCAAGGGAGGAAAGCACCCACCTGCCTTCAATTCCTTTGGAACAGGGATCTTCAACCGTTTTAGTCCATGTGCCCCCAGCAGCTGGAAGGGGGAGGAAGGTGCAGCTGGATGCAGAGCGGTGGCAGCATGGGGTGGTGAGAAGTGGTGGCTGCCGCATGCAAGTTTTCCCTCCCTGTCCAGCCAGCCAGGCAGAACTTGTGCGGCCCACAGAGAAGCACCACTGCCCCCGCTCCTGTGAGGTGCTGGTACCCTGGATACTTTGCAGGATTGGGCTCTCTAGGAGGATCAGAGAATGATTGCCTCTCATGTGCTATTTGCCTAGTAGCATTGAGAAGCATTTTTTTCTTTCCCCCGGTGGCGTGTGCATGGCTATCAAGAATTGTAAAAGTGCATGCAGATATTTGTGCCTTTATCATAGCTGACAAGATGACACCAGGTAGTCTGAACCTAATTGTCCATATAAGCTGGTCACAAGACACAAAACACTATGTCAGACTCAAATGTGCAACATCATCTCTACCCCCAGAGATTCTGTATCACATGCTATGTTAGCATGTGCTTATAGGGCAATATGCTCTTGTAGAGAGAGAACATATTTCTTGGAACTTGAAGACATCTTTTATCCAAGTTGCCTAATAGTTTCCATTCTTCTAATTCCATTGCTGCAGTTATTCCCATCCAAAGCTTTCTTGTGTTTTGTATTTTTCCTTTTTGGGCCGATTTTTCTGGTGATGGGTGAATTTCATTAGCAAAAATAGCTCAGCTACTCTGCAGAGCAAAAAATACTTCCCACATATCCCTCTACTGCTTCCTTCTCAGCTCTTTTATTTTTTCATTCTTCTTTCTCAGTATCTTTTCTTCTTCCATCCCTATCACTGCTGTTTTCCATTTTCCCCAAGGGAAATGAAACAAAGGAGATGGGGGAGGTTTATGAGAACTAGGACAAGATAAGATAGAAGAGGAACAAGATTGCAGGTCGAAGTTGTAAAGCAAGGGAACAAGAAGGCAACAACAAGCAGAGAAACCTGGACAACAGCCAGTGCTCTTTGAAGAAGTCAGTGGATGCTTCCCAGAAGAACACTGCCAGAGGAGAGAAATGATCAGGACATGAAAGACAGATGCATAGCCACAGAGAACTTTCCATCTTGGTTATGTAACCCGGGCGGTACTCCAAAAGGTACCCCCCTCTCCAATTGAAGGGATCAAAGCAGGTGCACAAGCACTGTGGGAGGTGTAGGGACTCTCCTCCTCCTATAGAGCAGAGTCAGACCACCACTGGGGACTTAACCATATACCTTTTAATGAGGGAACAATACTGGGAACATAACAAGCATAATCAGGGGGTATAGTGGATACTACAATGCCCCAAGGGAGCAGGATTCAACAAAGGTTAGACACTTAAAATCATTGACAAAAGACAGGGTTAACAAAATATAAAACACAAACAGCAGAGCAAACAATACTGGTTGGGGAAATATAAAAAGGCACCAAATACAGAATGTCAAATGACAAAGAAATATAAGGCCTAGGTACCTGGGGGGGGTAGAAGACACAATGGTTCCTTTCTACTGCAAGAGGAATTTCTCTTTGTTAGCTCACTCACCCCAGCTAGGACTTGAACTCATATCTCTCACATGGTAGGTAAGAACACTACCACACAGCCACCAGTGCTGGTACTGCTCCAAGCTGCTAGGGGTCTTGACCTTCCTGGAGCCCCGGCCTCACATCGAGCTGCCTGGCCTCTGATTGGAGGAGCTGGAAGCCAAGCTGGGAACCCCTCAGGTCGCTTCTCAGATCCTCCTGCTGGCCACAGCCTCTGGTAGGGGATCCTGGAGCCCAGTAGGCAGCCTCTCCTGCCGGCCACACACCGTGCTGCTGAGGGTCCAACTGCTGCCTACAGGTCCTGCTCCTTCAGGCTCTTCTGGGGCAACTACTTCTGCCCTGCTGGCTCAGCTCTTGCCACCTCTTTGAAGCTCCTTCCTCCTAGTCCCTCACTGCTCTCTCCCCTGAGTCAGCTGTGCTGCCCCTTTTATCCCCATCCAGGTGACCCAAGGGGCCAATCAGGGGACATGAGGGGTGAATCTCTGGGGCCTGATTGGTGAGGAAAGGGAATCCCAAGTCCTCCAATCAATTTTTACCCTTTCAAAACCCCTGGGCTAGGTCACTGCCAGCTAGCCCGTCACAGTTAGCACCAGAAGGAGGCTAACAAGGCAGAAGAGAAAGGTAAAGGACCTTGCAGAAGAAGCTGGAGAAGTAAGGCTGCAAGGTGGAAGGCTGCAGGTTGGAGCATATCAGGGTCTCCCTCTTGTTGCAAAAGGGACAGGTGTGGCGTGTACTGGTGAACCCCACCAGCTGTGCCCTCATGCTCAGGGCTCTTCTGGAACGTGTAAGATCACAACTACTACCACCCCTGACATGCAAAGCTCTTTCAGGCCCAGCAGCAATTTCCATGGGGTTACTGAGGAACATGTTTCCCTGAGGATCAGGGCTAGAAATGTCAGCTTGGTTCACTGTATTGCTTCCTGCCAGTCTGAGGGACTCTGGCACCATACATACCATAGCAGAGAGATATAGTTAGCTATGTTAGTTTGAAGTCAGCATGTGATGAAACAAATCTCAGCTCACAAAAGCTTGTAATCTCTCTCTCTCTCTCTCTCTCTGTCTCTGGGTAGTCTATAACATTCACATTTACCCTCCCTTCTAGTAGTCCATGAGTGCTCAACCATCAGCCCACAGGCCTGATTTGGCCCCTGGCACTGTGTCTTCTGACCCAGAGCACTCCTCAGGCTATGGCCCTGTGTGCTAGATCGAGTGTACAGGGTGGTACCCCGCAGGGCCTGATCCCAGCATGCTGGGCTAAGGAATTGTGCAGGGCTCTGGAGCCCAATTCTGTCAGGCGGAACTAGGTGACAGTAGCATGGGGTTCCTGGAACCTGATCTCAGCGACTGGAGGCAGCACAGGGCCCCCTGGCCAAAAAGCTGAGTACCACGGTATTAATCTATAGGGTGCAAATCTACCCTGCCTTCTACTGTATGGACCATGGGCCAAGTTGTTTTGCTCATTGCTGCCACCCAGTGTCACTCCACAGTATGGCCCCAAGAGCTCTTACCTGCTGCTCAGCTCCACACTGGCACCAGACAGGTTCCCTGTTATTAGCCCAGGCATTTCTTTTCAGAATTTCCCTTTGCCTTGAATTGGACTGGCATCAGTGTCGCACTAAGTGAACATTAAACACAAAAAAAATCATTTGAGACATATTGAAACAATCTTGTCACACCATTTTCTTTTGATAAGGTTGAGACACCTCGTTCTGACTTTGTATCAACTGTTATTAATGAGTTGAAAGCAAAAAACTTGGATTATTTTAGCTGATGATTGTGATGAAATGGCTACACTCTAGCAAAATATTTTGCTGTCATTGAATTGGCATTTTCCAAGACGAGCTGTTTTCTTAGAAAAATCTGAACTACTTAATTTCATAGCTCTTCCACAAATTTCCATGTCATTTTTCAGCCTGAGGAAAGATAAAGAGTAGGATGCCTTGAAGAACGGTGGCATGTAAGTGTATCTATTAATTATCAGAGCAATGGTAAAAAGGAGTGAGAAGTAGTTAGCCATGGTAATTTGTTAGAAGGCAGGGTAGATACACCTTTAGGCTGAATACAGACAGTCAAAAAGCCTGAGGCTGAATTGATTTAATCTTCATAGTTTAATCTAAACTGCATAGCAAGTTAACAACTGGCATCTGACTCCCTAGCCCAGCCTCTGTCTTCTTTACTTTTCATTCCATCCAGGAAGAGCACACACCAACTGCTGAAACTTCCTTAGCCGACGAAGGGTTTTTGAACTCGAAAGCTTGCTTGATAACTATTCTCCAACCATTTGGGTTGGTCTAATAAAAGATATCAAATTCACCCAAGGAACCTTGTCTGCCTATGTCCTTAGACCAACACAGCTACAACCTACACCCCTGTAGCAAGTGAACAGACATTCACTTTTGGTTCTGGAAATGCAGCCATGTGCCTGCAGTGGCCCAGGCCAAAGGGCTAGAGCACAGCTCCTCGCTTGGCTAGAGCAAACAGCTTGGGCCAAGGCTAGCCCACCCACCCTGCGATGGGAGGCTCATGGGGGGAGGTGCAAAGCATCCTGGGAGGCTGGGGGATGGTGAGTTAACTTGAATCTGGAGGGGATTTGGGACAGAAGTTCAATAAATCAATTTAACCTAATTCAGTTAAGTCTGATACTACATCCATCCAGGTTTATCTTAAAGTGGTTTTGGCCATTTTGAAAGTGGTTAATGAGCACTGAATTTCTGTTATGTTACAGATTTGAAATCTATTCCCAATCACTTATACTGGTTTATGTTTAATTTTTGTCTCTAGTCCTATAGACTAACTAAATAAGATATATAGAGAAAGTACACGCGTTCATGAACCTAAGTTCAGTTCATCAGATGCAGAAATAGAGTATAAAAAAGGACGAGTCACAACTAGTAATTTTTGTAGGTGCCAGGTAAGTTTCATTAGAAAAAAAATCAAGCAAGCTTTGTATACATGTTGCCAAGATGGAAATGCACAGGCTTCACTGAGAGAAAAGACGTTTTTGTGGACAGCCGAGATCTGTGTTCAGCATGGTACAAACAGCAAGCAGAACGTTCAGCTGCATAAAGAACAAGATGATGACTAATGCTAAAAATATTCTACTGCCCATCTGAAAATCAATGGTATGCCATTGCCTGAATACAGGATACCAATCACCTTATTTAATAAAAGGGAACTGAAATAGAAGGCAGTGGGAAATGGAGAGAATAGGAAACTTCTATACCTGCCTCTTCCCATAGGGATTTTTCGGCTGTGAACTAGAGCAGCTTCACAAAATGGCACTGGCTAATAATGGTGACTGGAGCTGAGGGGCATAGGAGATGTCCCCCATCAGTATGGGATGTACCCAGGAGATGTCCCTTTTGATTTGGGATCAGTGGGCCTACTTTTGGCCTTCTCTCAGGAGACTGGTGAGGTGTGCAAGGAGCTTAGAACTCATCAGGCTTTCTGGAGATGGGAGGGGTTGGAAGAAGAACCCCGGTGAACTTAGGCAAGGGCTTACAACATCGGGGGCAAGTTCCCCACAATGATTTCCTTGCAGCAGTTCTGTGACCAGCTTGGTCCTCCTGATGCAAAAAGGAAAGAACCTGTATAGCTCTCCAAAACTGTATTGGGATGCAAACTGTAGAGGCAGAGAAAGAGAGGGGGAGTCTAAGCGTAAGGGAGCCTGCCCCGACTGGAAGCTCTGTCCCAGGATCATTTCACAGCAAGGAAGCTGATAATTCTCCTTTGGCCTCCTTGTTTAGTCACAGTTTTTGGCGCCCCCTTTTGTGTCTTAGCCAGAGCTGTGTCCTCATATATTAATCTTGGGTCTTGGATGCTCAGAACTGACCCTTCCTGCCTCAGTCTCCTGGGGTAATTGGTGCCCCTTTTGCAGTGTCTAATGAGATATGGACATATCCATGATCAGCTTGCCTCTCCAAACCATGCTGATCTTTTCCAGCTATGGTAGCTCTTAGCCTCTGCAACCTGGTACCAGCCCTTAGGCACCCTGTAAAGGTTCCTCTGGAGGGGCTGCCCAAGTCGGTGGAGGTAAGCAGCACCATACCTAGACTCCTGGTGGCCCCAGGCAAACTTTTAGTAGCAGGCCTCCTGTGACAGGGGGCCATCTCGGGACCGGATCTTAACACTGGCCCACCCTTCTGTCTAGGGCAGTCTGCCTTGCCTCGCCTGTCATGACTTGCTGGTTAATAACATGAATATAAGGTGCAGGAGGCTACCCATTTAAAGACCCGATGCCTGGGGTGAAATACACGGCTCCGTACCATTCCTACACTGTGTTCCATGCCTCGCAGATGGCACTGCAAATAGGTAACAGCTCCAGTCCAAGGTCGGGCTAAACTCTGCCCCTTGCTGGGCCTCTGACATTGTATTCTCATACTCTGCCCCCTCTCATAAGGACTCATTCACTCTGCCCACTTTCACTGGGCCTCTTCCACACTGCCCCTCACTGGGCCACTCTCAACCTGCCCTGCTCCTTGAGTGGTCCCCTCAGGCCCTTACCTCCAAGATGATCTGAGCAACAGCTCAGCCAACTGTTGTCCTTCCAGCTGCCAGCAGCAGACTGCTGGCTCAGCCCTGGGAGCCTGGATCTAAAATGGAGGCTGCTCTGCCCTCTCCTCCAATCCCAGGACCCTCCTGTGGTCATGTGACTGCCTCATTGGGGCTAGCCCACACCTGCAGGCCACCCTGCTGCCACTCCAAGTCCTTAAAGTGTCAGGTACCAACGGTGCTCTGCCACACCCCTATTTGCTAGAGATAATGATAATAATAATTTTAAAAATTACCATTTTCGAGCCCCTTTTCTGTCCAGGCAGCTTCCCAGTTTGCCCATGCCTGTGTCCATCCCTGGAGGTTAGTTTGCCTTCCCCTCATAGTACAGTCCCTGGGGAATGGCCTACTTCTCAGCAGATTCATGAGTGGGGCAACTGCTGAAGGCACAGCAGGGTGGGGAACAATATAGGAAGCATCTTATGGATCTCAGCAGTGACTGGTCTCCTCCTTTATTATGTGTTAAGGAGAGGTCATATTATTGCTGGTCTCCAAAGGTGTGGGTCCCAGATCTCCTCCTCCTCTGCCAGGTTGCTGGTGGCTACAGGCTAAAGATAAGGATCTGGCAAAGGATCCTCAGGGATCCAACATAATGCCTCTATGAGCCACCCATGCTTGGGTAGGGTAGGTATAGTAGGTGTGGCCCCTGGGGTTGCTGATGGTACCCCTTGGTGGCCATGTAAAACCTGCCTCACTCCAGCTCCTTACTGTATTCTCCCTGCTCCTTCATCTGCCATGCCTTGATGTATATGAACTGGGAGGCTTCCCCTGAATCCTGGAGTGATCCCAGTTGCCTTTAACTGGCCTTGCCAGATCCTCAGCTCTCTTGGTTGCTCTCTGGACCCTTAGTCTGCCACCCAGCTATTTGATACCCTGCTGGCCCTTACCCTGCCTTGCAGGCACCACTCATGGTCCTTTCTGTGCCTCAGGACATGAAGGTGAGCATACCCACATATGTTGGCGGGGGGTGGGCTACAGACCTGCAAGGAGTTAACATAGTGCTCCATAAAAACAAAAATAATGGGTTCCAACTCCTAAATTGGGGTAATTGGGCTCAGTCTGGTGAAGGATTTCCCTTGAAAGAAATAGGGTAAAACCCTACCAGGTCAGTTTGAACCAGTTTAGGTTGTATCTGTCTGTCTGTTCTGGAATTAAAACATGGACAAGGCAATCCCTGCCACCTAGTGGTGAGGTGAAGCAATAGCCATTAAGTGTGTGAGTTATGCCAGGATAGCTCCAGTTTTATATATCGGTATGTAAAAGGGATGTAAATTATAAAACTATACCAGGTATAATTTACATTGCCTGTCCATGCCCTCAGTTTGAATTTGCTTCTAGATCTCAAAAAGGCCATGTGAGTGAGAAATTTTCTATGAACACTATTGAAAGATTCTCTCCTCTCTCTTTGGTGGCCAAAAAGGATAACAAGAAGGATAAAATGTGAAAAACTATTCTTTTTTGGATGGCTATATCCTAGAAACTCTTATATTATATGAAGGTTGAATGTGGGTGCAGAGCCTCACTGCAATGAATGGAAGGGTGGGTACAGAGATGCAACTGCTAGAGGATTATTCTTTTATCTTGGGTGAAAGATGTAAGGCAAAAAACCCCCACAAAGATCTATTTCTCCCTTCTGGACAGCTCGTCACTTCTGGATCCTTCTCAATTGCAGGTGAAAAAAACACATGTACCAATACAATGCCTCTACACTAATGCTTGTAGCATGGGAAATAAGCAGGAGGAACTCGCCCTCCGGGTAGCTAGTACAAACACAGACTTAGTAGGGCTCACAGAAACCTGGTGGGATTCATCCCATGACTGGGCAGTAAACATTAGGGGCTACAGACTATACAGGCAGGTTAGAACAGGGAGGAAAAGTGGGGGTGTGGTGCTCTATGTCAAAGAGCAATACACGTCCTCAACTAACAGGATGGGGTCAGAGGAGGGGCAGGCTGAAGTGCTCTGGGTCAGAATACAGTGGGGTCATGTGGAAAGGGACTTAACAGTGGGGGTCTACTACAGACCACCCAACCAAGGGGAAGAGCTGGACCGTGAATTCTCGGGCCACATTGCGGAGGCACTTAAGGCAAAGGATGTAGTCGTCATGGATGATCTAAACTACCCGGACATCTGCTGGGAGGAGCAGTCAGCCACATCGGACCACTCATGAAAGTCCTTGCTGAGATACAGGACCTCCACCTAACCCAGGAGGTGCACAGTCCCACCAGGGGGAAAGCCCTGCTGGACCTGGTCGTGGTCACAGGCAACGACCTGGTGAGGGGACTCTAGGTTCTTGACCACCTGGGTGACAGCTATCACCGCCTACTGGAATTCACCATCCAGTCAGGGTGTCAAGGGCCTGCAATAAGGCAGTAGCCCTTGACTTCAAGAGGGCTAACTTCAACGAGTTGAGGAGTTTGGTAGGAGAGGCACTGGGGTCCTGGAGAATTGGGGAACTGGGTGTCTGAGATGAGTGGTCATTCCTTAAGGAGACGATCCTCCGTGCCCAAGAGGTGACAGTCCCAATGAGAATCAAAGTGAGCAAGAGTGCTCAAAAGCCCCCTGGCTCACCAAAGGCATTCAGGAAAGGCAAAAAAGAGGCGTACACCCAGTGGAAGGGAAGGGCTATCACCAAAGAGGAGTATACCTCCATCGCTTGGGCTTGTAGGGGGGCTGTTAGGAAAGCTAAGGCAGATATGGAACTAGGGCTAGCATCAAGGATCAAGGAAAACGAAAAGTCCTTTTTTAAATACATAGGGAGTATGAAGAAAGCACCGGGTAATGTGGGGCCCCTGCAGGATACGCTAGGCAATCTGGTGGTTACACCAGAGGAAAAGGCAGACCTTGTAAACAATTTCTTTGCCTCCATTTTTTTGTGCAGGGACCAGGACTCCCTCACTGAGATTCAGGATGGACTCAGGCATGACTCTGACAGGCCTAGGGTTGGGGAGGACCAAGTTAGGGAACTTCTGGAGGGGCTAGACATGTTCAAATCAGCAGGTCCAGATGCTCTTCACCCCAGGGCGTTGAGGGAATTGGCAGGGGTTATTGAAGGACCTCTGACACAGCTTTACGAGCACTCGTGGTGCTTTGGCCAGATGCCAGATGACTGGAAGAGGGCCAATGTGGTCCCCATTTTCAAAAAAGGGAGGAGGGAGGACCTGGGCAAGTATAGGCCCGTTAGTCTTACTTTGGTCCTGGGGAAGCTCTTTGAGAAGATTATCCAGCACATCTGGGAAGGACCGGCTGGAGGGACTATGCTCGGGGCAACCAGCATGGGTTCATTAGAGGCAGGTCCTGTCAGACCAACCTGATTGCCTTCTATGATCAGGTCACAAAATCATTGGATGCAGGTGTCGCGGTGAACGTAGTCTTTCTGGACTTCAGGAAGGCCTTTGACATTGTCTCCCATCCCATTCTCATTAAAAAGCTAGGTGACTGTGGCATTGATGTCTACACAGTCAGATGGGTCACAAATTGGCTGAGGGACTGCACCCAGAGAGTAGTAGTGGATGGGTCATATTCAACCTGGAGGGATGTGGGCGGTGGGTCTCCCAGGGCTCGGTCCTTGGGCCCGCACTGTTTAATCTCTTTATTAGCGACTTGGATGAAGGGGTGAAAAGCACACTGTTCAAATTTGCTGACGACACCAAGAACTGGGGCTAGGTGGGCACGCTAGAAGGGAGCGACAGGATGCAGCTGGACCTGGACAGGTTACAGGGGTGGGTGAATGAGAATAGGATGGGATTCAGTACTAACAAGTGTAAGGTACTGCACTTGGGCAGTAAGAACCAGCAGTATACCTATAGGCTGGGGAACTCCCTTCTCGAAAGCACAGTGGCAGAAAGAGATCTTGGAGTCATTATTGATTCCAAAATGAACATGGGCCGCCAATGTGAGGATGTGGTCAGTAAGGCCAACCGCACCTTGTCATGCATCCACAGATGCATCACAAGCAGGGCCAAGGAGGTGATCCTCTCCCTCTATGCGACACTGGTCAGGCCACAGTTGGAGTACTGCATCCAGTTCTGGGCGACGCACTTTAGGAGGGATGTGGCCAGCATCAAGAGGGTCCAGAGGAGGGCCACTCACATGATCCGGGGACAGCAGGGCAGACCCTATGAGGAGAGGCTATGGGACCTGAACCTGTTCAGCCTTCACAAGAGAAGGCTGAGAGGGGATCTGGTGGCCATCTACAAACGTACCAAGGGGTACCACTGGAGAATGGGAGAAACCCTGTTCACCTGTGCACCTCCCAGAGTAACAAGGAATAATAGCCATAAGTTGTTTGAGAGTAGGTTCATGCTGGACATTAGAAGCCACTACTTGACAGTCAGGGCAGCTAGGATCTGGAACCAACTTCCAAGGGAAGTGGTGCTGGCTCCTACCTTGGGGGTCTTTAAGAGGAGGCTGGATAGTTACCTCGCTGGGGTCATATGAGCCCAGTATTCTCTCCTGCCCAGGGCAGGGGGTCGGACTTGATGATCTGCTTAGGTCCCTTCTGACCCTACATCTATAACTCTATTAATCTATGAACAAGATGCCCCCCTGGCCTGTGGAGATTCTGAGAGAAACATTCTTTCCTGACTTCATGCTAAAGGAGTCTCCGTGTAACCAGGTCCTTGAAAACCATGCCCTGGAATATCATAACGCAGGGGCAGGCAATTATTTTCGGCAGAGGGCCGCTTACTGAGTTTTGGCAAGCCATCGAGGGCCTCATAACAGGCAGCCCAGGACAGATTAATATTAATTTTCTAAATTTTTTAGGGGCCCCATGGGCTGGATAGTATGGCCTGGTGGGCCACATCCAGCCCCTGGGCCACATTTTGCCCACCCCTGTCATAACAGATGCATCTACCTGAAACATTTACTGTGCAGTTGACCAATTAATTGAACAGTAAACGTATCAGCGTCTACACGTGTGCCCCTACTAGAGTGCATGAAACTAATGAGCTGTGCAGCAAGGTAATTTTGTAAAATATAAGTACTACCCTGTGGTGGAGTTTTTTCCATGTGCAGCAGCACACGTGTAGACACTGCCTCAGCTGGCTGAGGAACAGAGGCTCAACAAATGGCTAGCCAGCAGGCAGCCCTGTGCTGAGGCACCCTGCATTTCAGCCAACCTCTCTGTAGCATAGAGCTGGGTCAGAGCAGCCCTGGGATGGCAGGTTCACCTGCTCCCCCATCTTCATGTGCCACTCTGTGGCTGGCTGGGGCACAGTGTGCCTCAGCCCAGGGGTTGCATGCCAGCCCCCACCCCTGCAGCACACAGAGCCAGGTCAGAGCATCCCTGAACTGGCAGGCTGACCTCGTGGGTCCCCTGCCAGCTGGACTGCCCTGACTGGGCTCCATGTGGTGCATACAAATACACTTCAGAGCAATTTGCTCTGGAGATTTTGCTCCTGGGTGCCCATTCAAACAGTGTACTTTGGAGCCAAAAACCCTTGAGCAATAAGCTTTAGAATTTATTGGTGCACACGTAGACGTGCTCACAGGGATCTCACCCCAGAGTGCCAGACACCCAGATCTAACAGACAGCCAGGCTCTAGGGCAGCTTGACTTCTCTTCACAATGTGCAGTCACACTGTGCTAACTGTACCTGTGGTTTTTGGCTGCAACCACAGGAAATAGTTGGGGAGGGAGTGAAAAGATGAACAGTGGCCAGATAATAATTAGTATCATTTTAAAAAGAGTGTTTTTTCTCAGTGTACCAATTTTGTGACACACAGCTAATTCATGTACTCCCCATGGTCTATTGTCCTTTCCCATCAATGGCCATAAATACTCATCTCTGGCAATGGTTAAGTAGGTCTCATTTTTTCAGATATACCATATAACAATAACCCATGTCCTTTACGATAACTCATGACTTCTCAGGCGAAGAGCACCCTGTGGATGAATATTGGTTGGGATAAGCATGCTGAGGACGAGAATGGTGATGCATCATGAGGTATTACACCAGCTGTCTGTCCATGACAAGGGTCATAAGCTCTATTGATCGTTGCTACTGTTCCAGGGCTGGAGAATTTTCATCAGTGAGAGCCATAAAATAGGCTCTAAATTCAGAGAGCTGAAGCTATGGGGAAGGTTTAGGAAAGGAGATTGTTAATAATTAGACTTCACATTGCTCTGATCATAGACAGTTTTAACATCAGAACAAAGGGCTCAAGATCTCATGAGCACTGTATCTTTTATGAGGAAATCTCAGGGGGACTTCTATTACCTGGTGAATGCTGGGTTAGGAACAAATGGTACTGCCATTGTGTCTCTCACTGCTTCCCTCTCCAGCCAACAGCTGGAAATACAGAGCCAAGAGGAAACATTTGATGCTGAAAACCTAGTTCACCAAAGGTCCTGTCGGTCTACCAGTCC